AGTGATGTCTGAAACATGATTCACACATTATTTCTTCTTCCTTAAAATCAGATCTTAAGCATTTGAAATAGTGTATGATGAGCACACACAGTATTCACTCATGTCAATGCAAGCACTGAGAGACATGGGTGATTATTAATTTGTATGGATATTGAATTAGGGTGAGTTATGATTATTTTATTTGTTACTGTTTGATCTATTATATTTTGAATAATCATTCCATCTTTAGGATTTCACACAAAAAACAGCCCCACAAATTTTCCAGAGCCAGAGGTGATGTCTTTTGAGTGCATTGTATGTCCAATGGTCCAAAACCCTGAAATCCAAAATTTTCAATAATATAACAGAAAGAAACAAGAAGCAAAGAAAGAAAGAAAGAAGCAAATCCAAATTTAAGAAGATAGAACCAGAGAATATCTGGCATTCAAACCTTGATAGCAATACGGTATAGCAACATAGATTATTTAGAAAGTCAACTGTAAAACCATTTTCAGATAAAATATTCTGGTGATTTAAATCCAGTAAATTAACCACTTGACTAATGAAGGCACTGATGAAGAGATCAATCACATATATATACAGTATATATGTACAAACAAATCCACTGACGTGACAAAGTGTTTCTCACATGCACAGTCACACAGATTAGTAATGAAATCCAGATTCTCCTTGGGGAAGCAAACATTGCTTTACACAAAATACTTTGTCCTGAATGTTTATTATGCTTGCAGAGGCTTCCCACTCTGAGAACAGCGGGCCAGTGAGGGAGTGACGCTGCAGGCTGTGTGCGGTCGGCCTGACAATTCAATCACTGACACCTTCTCTGCACTGCACCTTTTTCGGACTTTATTATGTTTTTATCCCCCTGGCCAAATTCTCCATCCTTCCAGTGATCGTATCATCGGTCTGCACATCTGCTTAATTGTCCATCTACTGTACCCAAGCATATTCAGTCCATCTGATTTGTCTGTCTTCAAAAAACACATCTTCCGTTTATCAAGGTGTCTGTCATCCATCCGTCCGTCCATCCATCCATCCACTTGGGTGGTGGACGTCCTGTGGACTCCGAATGCCTGCAGTGTCAGAGGGGAGAACCTGTCTTTCAGCATCAGGATTCAGAGTCCAGGAAACACACACACACACACACACACACACATCTTTGGCCCTTCACTCAGCAGCCCCCCACTCTCCCATCATGCCTTGCCTGGCTGTATTATGACAGGTGGAGTGTCGGTCACCTCCAGCCGGACTTTCCTACCAGCATCTCTCCTCAGCTCAAGCGGGCTGCTGCAGAGACTTAATATGTGTGAGAAAATATTAGAATGTGTGTTTACAAGTTAGATTAATGTTGGGTGTAGATGTTTGTACATTCTGTCCGAATATATACTGTATATACTGTTCAAGTACAGTGTTATGGCTGGTCTGGTTTAAGGAGATGGAGATATGCATGAGAAGAAAGAGGTGAAGGAGATGAAGAGACCAGATCGGAGAATGTGCAAAATGATGCGCACCAGCAGAAGAAGACGACGGCAAAATAGACAATTATGAAGAAGGAGCTAAGAAAATGGTTTATGATATGAAGCTGGGGTAGGAGGGGCAGAGAGCCTGATGAGGATGAAAAATGAATCACCCTGATGGGGAAAGTAGAGCGGCTTTGTGATGATAGCACAAAGTCTTCACTCATCACCTGGGCGGCCTCATGTCCTCTCTGGAGATTGGACTGCTGAGTCTCTGTTTCTTCTACTCTGCTTCAAACTGAGTGATGGACACTTTTTAACACATTAATTCCCAGTGAAACCAAGACTGAAAGAAATCAGTTACTTTGTAATACTAGTATGTAAATGCTCCGTATTTGTATAGCGCCTTTCTAGTCTTTTCGACCACTCAGAGTGCTTTTACACTACATCTGCATTCACCATTCACTCACATTTATACACTGAGTACACTGAGCCTAAGTGCTCAAACAGAAATCATTCAGAATCATTCACACACATTCATACACTGGCGGAATAGCCACTACTCTCTGACTGCCATTGAACCGCATGCTGTATGTAGTATAAGTCTTTTTAGCTCTTTTTGTAGTGCAACACCATTATGATCATTTATTTCTTTAAATGTTTTCGCAATGGGTCAACTTTAAACCTTAAAATTGTGTTTTTAACCTTTATTTAAAGGTTCCCGGTGGATTTCTTTAATGGAGCAGCTTTTGCATGCTCACTGCCAGTGATTTCACACTATTGCACTGAACAACAGGTGGTGGTAATGTGCAAGCAAATACAGTAATGCACCAACAATGGCAGGGAGAAAGAAGAATGCAAGTAAACCTGCATGTAAACAATGTTATAAATTGGCTTTGTTTTATACGCATTCAACAAGTTTGTTAGAGCTCAAGGATACACAAAATGTGCTGGATGACAATGGATGTAAACATAGTTTATTTGATTGCAGCAGAACTACATTTTTTGGTACATTTTTTGCCCTGTTTGGTTTGCAGTAAACTTGGCTTCTTTTTCTTTGTTAAAAGTAGATTTCAGGCCATTTTGGCTCCTTATTATAGGAGTGTTAGTACAGTGCATTGTTTTCTACTTGTATGATGTAAAAAGAGATTTCTTCTACATAGTTTGAAAAAGATTATTTGTATCTACTGATTTTTATAAGCTACATTTTGATGAACAATGGCTTTGAACTGCACTGCAAAGAGCTATAGCTTTTGCCAGTTGAGGATGCTTTCATCCAAAGTGCGTTATACCACCATGAATTGTATGCTTAAATGTTTATTATTGTCATCTTGTGCCTTGACCACTGAGGCTTGCTCCTGGCAAGCCTGTATTTGCCATCCGAACTCTGCAGCTCACCCTGAATGCAGGAGTTTGGCTGGTCTTCAGCACCCTGCAATGGCTTCTGTTGGATTTTCAAATCCGATTCAAGAAACTGATGACTGCCCACCGCGGTGAGAATGGCACAGGCCCATCCTGCATCCAGGACTTGGTCAAACCATACACCCAAGTCAGTCCACTATGCTCTGCTACTGCCAGACAGCATGCTGTTCCCTCTTTACTGCTCAACATTGGCCCATAAAAGACAAAAAAAATGGCTTATTCTCTGTCTCTTATTGTTTCTAAATGTAGCACTTGAAGCAGATCAGCATATTTGATGGAAACTACTTGCATGATTCTTGCTATTTTTTGGGTAGTAGTTGAATGCACTTACTGTAAGAGACTGTGGATAGAAGCATCAACTAAATAAATTTTATGTAATGACTGGTGACCTCTGTAGGAATCGAACCATTGACAGTATGAGTAAATAAATAAATAAATAAATCAAAAACAAAAAGCAGGAAAACACCACTCCTCTTGAATTAAGGACAGGAATTTATCTTAGACTAAGAAGAAAAGAGAAGGAGGCAGAAGAAAAAAAGAAGCGTTGAAGAGCAGGAGGATCAACCTCTACAGGGTGGCCAGGAAACAGGATTATGCACACAACCACACACACACACACACACACACACACACACACACACCAGCAGGCATACAAACCCATCTCCCACCAGTCTGTCTCTGCTACACCGACCAGATCTCCCATCACCCAGGCAAGAGAGAACATACCGGCTCAAGTCTAAATCTGACGCACCAAAGAGCTTAGCCTCAGCGCCTCAGGAAATAATAATGAATATGGAATGATAGTCTGTATTTTGTGCTGCAAATGCAACCAGATGCAAAAGGTGGAGGGGGAAAAATCAGGAGCAGATGTTTGAGAAACAAGAGGTCTTAGGGACTGTGAGCAGCCAATTTGCCCTGCAAACATATTGTAACCCTACCCAGCATGTAGCATAATCACTTATAGTATGTATATCGCCACTTTGTAATGAGGGAAAGTATGGAACAGAGGCGTTCTGCAGCTGCTCCCTGGGAAAGTTCAGTTGTTATGGAAGCAGCCAGGCTAGACACAACACCACCCAATTAACATAAAGATCTCTGACAACGAGGGAAACCGCACATGTCTGACACATTTCTATAGCCTACTGTACATGTGGTGGTGGGTGAGTGTGTATTTGCATATCTTCCTCTTCCATAGGCTGCAGACATGCATACAGAACAGCGCAGACAGCTGGTGTACAGTTCAGCAAAGAGAATTCTGCGTTGTTTTCTGATGAAAAACCCAGTGGTTGAGTTTTCTGAAAATATATTATACATAAAGATTTATTCCACTGTCTGCGAGATCCTTCTTAACTTTTAGTGTTTTTCTTTGTCTCCATTTTATTGGTGCCAGGAGCTAATGATGGCTTTTCTGCACTGCACTTTATAGAGATGACTTGAGTTATACAGAAAAAAGTCAATAGACAAGTGAAAAAGCAATTCAGTCGGACTTCAAGACCTAATATTAGTGTTATAAATCATGATAATGAGTATATCTGATATTTATCCAATGAAACTCTCACACATCGCTACTCAAAACTAAAATCTGTAACTCGTTACATGGTGGGTAACCAGAAGGAAAGAGGAAGATGCAAAGAAACTTAATTTAGAAAGTAGCTGCCAATTGAACCGAACAATGAGAAAGCACAATGTTTTTACAAAGAAGTAATGTTTTGTTTGTTTTTTAAATTAACAAATATGAAATCATGAAATAAATATATTTTTGTTGTGTGATTGGCTGTACGCTCAAATTCCCACAGATGTTGGACAAAAGATATTTTGAAATAAAAACAGCTGGGATAAAAAAAACTAAACATGATTAAAGAAAAGAAGCAGTATCAAATTACAGTTCACAATAATGAGCTAAGTTTTAAAAAAGTATTAATATTAAAAGGAATGTTTCACAAAATGTTTATATTAAATATTTATTTCATTCACTTTTTAAATTTATATATAATAATTAACATGCTAGGTCTGCTTTACATTTGTTGTTCTCAGTTAATAACATGAGATAAAAACATGTTCTGTCACCTTAGTTTAACTTTGCTGATCTGCTGCTTTATCCGTTTTGTCCTTTCACAGCCACCGTATTGTGAAGTCACAATCCAAGATGGCGCTGCCCGTGCGAACTAACTTGAAACATCTCTTCAGATTCATTCAGAAGTTTAATTCCCCGAAAAGGGTACTCTGCGCTGAGGTCTGTACGGAAAACAAGGTACGTGCTGCGGTGAAAATAATGTCTTAACTGTGTCTCAGCTTGAATAAGAGATTCACGTCTGCAGACTGCACACAGACTGAAACTGGGTTTGTGTGTTTCTTAGAATTTCACTATTTTTTAATCGTCACGTGTTAAGAATTAGTATTTATTTCATCAACGTGTTTGTGTTGTGTTGTCTCTTCATGAAAATCTAGTTTATTAATCTTTTAATCAACAAATTATTTGAATTGATAATTAGTGACCTTTAGAGCAGATGTGAGAACAGACTGGCTGTTTGTATAAGAGCATGTCAGCTGTTAATTATCTCAATACAGACAGTGAACATGATGTCTGTGCGATCAATGTAACGTTACTTACACACAGAACAATTTACAGGAAGATAGAAATAGACATTGCGCTAAAAAACAAGGACAATGAAGCTTAACAAAGAGGCAAAATTAAACATCTTTTAGACAACTGTATTTGTGAATTGTAAACTAATACAAATAGTACAAAGGAATACATATTGAATGGAAAATGGATCACTTTACAGCATGTCAGTATATGGAGGTATACATGTTTATACAGTATCAAAGTTGGTTGAGTAACTTTGTTCACAAGACATGCTAAGCTGGCAGAAATAATTGTTTTATCCACTGGGAAAGATCAATCTTATCTGCAGTGCAAAATATTAGTGGTGCAACATATTTGTAGTATAATATAGCTTGTCTGTTGACCTCGTTGTGGCGCAGATGCCCAGACTAAAATATTACATACTGTCTTGTTGGGTAGTGGTGATGATGTGTATCACATGATGTTATGGTATCATAGTGCTAGGGTCGATGTTCTTTGGACTATCTGTAGGCCCTATGTGGCTGTGGTGGACACTTGTGGCTTGCTTCAGATGAGCTAAAACGTCATAATGTAGGTCTTCCTTTTGCTGCCAAAACAGCCCTGAGATGTCGAGAAATGGACTTCCCTGTGTATCAGCCCCCTTTTGTAAGCACTGTGTGTTCAGACACCTTTCTATCAGAACCAGCATCAACTTTTTCAATAAATTGACCTACAGTAGCTCGTCTGTGGGATCGGACCACGGTCCAGCCTGTCAGTGATCCTTGGCCGTCCATGACCCTGTTGCAAAATCACATATTTTCCTTGCTTGGACCACTTCTGATAGGTACTACTGACCACTGCAGACCATTTTGGAGATGCTCTGATCCAGTCGTCTAGCCATCACAATTTGGCCCTTGCCAGAGTTACTTTAATCCTTACACTTGCCCATTTTTCCTGCTTCCAACACATCAACTATGATGACAAAATGATCACTGTGCCACGATAATGAGATAATCAGTGTTTTTCACTTCACCTGTCAGTGGTCAACAGTACATGTCTCGGTTGCAGTTCTATAATAATGTCTTACTTTTCACACACAATGAGATGCACACCAGTGTGAGTTTAAATGCAAGCCCATCAAAATTAAAAAAAACACCATGCAGCTCTTCTCCAGTACACTCCATACTTTATTCACAACCGCTTTTGCCCATCTTGCCTTCATATGGGTCATCAGGAATAATTTATATTCAAATTTAAAGAGGCCATATTATGCTCATTTTCATGCTTTTATTTGGGGGTCCTACTAGAATAGGTTTACAGGCTTTGATGAAAAACACATTCTTTTTCTCATACTGTACATCGCAACAGTAAATCTACTCACCCTCGGGAAAAGTCACGCCGTGATTCCTGAGGCTTCTTGATCAGCTGGGAACATCACTGTAGCTACAATAACCATGGCAGGCTTTATGCGAATGTGTTGTAATCACATAGACAAGTAACGGAAGAGAAGGTCAGGAGCAGTGTTTTCTGTGGGACATAGTAACTCCCTAAGGTGTACTTTGGGCTTTGTAACTTTGCAGACCTTTTACATGCACTAAAAAAGATATATAACACATTAACAGAAAGGGAAACCCCCCAAATGCATAATATAGCCACTTTAATCAAAAAATGTTTGTTTTGTTGTGTATTAAAGTACATCAATAAATATCAACCAATTTGCTATACATTTTTATAGAAAACTCTCAAATACCTATTTGGGTTTTGATCTCAAATGTCAAGTATCAGTTTGGTTCTAGTTCTTTTTTTTTTCTTCTTTGTCCAAATGGATTGTAGTGTTAGTGTTTTAGTAAGTTGAGTCGAGCTCAGTCATCAGCAGAACCTACTAATTATATAATTTTCATGCTTTTAAAACGTGTAACTTCATTAAAGCTGGTGTAGGCAGTGTTGGAGAAATAGCAAAAGATGCATAGATCATGAAAATACATAACCGGAAAATCCCACCCCCTCCCTTCAGGCCTCCCCCAAAGCCACTCTCCCAAAACACATTTTCATGCACAGTGAGTGTACAGGCAGCGTGCACACAGGTACGTAGACAGGCGGGTAGGCCAGCCAATCGTTTCATTTGGGCCGTACTTAATGTAGCTTGGGACAGCCACAGATACTGGATTTTCTACATTTTTGTGTTGGAGCGTTTGATTTATAGATTGGTTTTGGGATGTTAATAGAATTTCAACAAATAGGCTATAACAAAAAAAATGAATTAAATTGCCAGGCCCAGCTTTAAACTACAGTGCACTGTTTTCCATAGCATTGTTAAGTGAAACTATCAGGTGTAAAAATCTGTCTTTGAATTCTTGCAAATTATGATATAAATCAGGATAAGGCTCATTTTAGACTGTATTATATTTAGTTCTTGTATGGCTTCTTGTCTTAAGACAAAATTAAAAACTGAGCAGCTGAGTGCAAGAATTAAATCATCCAAAGTTTCTCCTGGGCAGGAAGCCAAAGCGCTGCACTTCTTCATCAAATATGCGACCGAGAAAATAGTATTTTTAGTGTTAGTCCATTGCTTTCAAGTGCAACAGTCTCTGCAAACTGTTATTGTTACATACATAGAGAATACTTGTGGAATTGTAGCAGGGAGGTTTGGTATTTAGAGCAGCTGCATTTGGTTTGACAGCAGAAAATGTTTTCAGAGACTTAAAACCTCAACAGTAACTGTCAGCTATATGGTGTCAGTTGGTCAGAATCAAAGAGTGAAGGTTGAGTACAGATGAAAGCAAACATGGTTATGCCCAGTCCCTGGGGGAAAGGCATTCTGGGAATTGGAGGAAATAATAAACTGGAGTTGAACTAAACAAGGCAAGTGGCAAAATGTGGTTGTAAATGTGACACATTGATTATATTTTACTTTAGCTTTTATAAAACCACAAAATTATATTGTTGTTATTTGCTTGGAAATATAATTTTTTATTGCTTAAGGTTCCTGCTGAGTTTAAATCATACTTTTTGGATTATTCTGTTTTGGGCATTTCCTCCTCAGCACTAAGTGGCCCATCACATTCTTAATTGATCGTTTTTGACTAAAGCAGCTTTCATTTGTGACTTTTTCCCTTTTCTGTCTTGATTTTATTCAGTTCAGTTTCCTTTCCTAGTCTGACATGTGACATAATATCCTCAGTAGCACTACTTGAGTGTTCCCTTTATTACTTCATTGGATTCAAGAAATGGACCTACTATAACTCAGCTTAGGGTTTCCTATCATTGCACGGCTGCTTTGGAGAAGCAAATGGGGTGTTAAGGCAAACAACGAGTCCCCGGGCACACGTAAGAATAACCAGTGCGTTTCAGTACAACAACGATGCTAATTATTGAGCTGTTCTTGCATTACGCTGCAGTTAAAAACCTCAACCATCTGACCAAAGCCCTGTGCTGGTTGATGAACGAGCTGTAATACAGTATGCGCGTTCACCGCCGTCCTGTCTGTGTTTTGTTAAGGCAATGTCTCTGGAGAGACCGGAGAGGTGTGTGACGAGAGGGGAGGAAGGGGTGGAAGCGAGGGACTCAGAAAGCATCACAGCAGTGCTTCATTACCAGCAATAACATCAGAAATGAAGTGTTGGTTTTCATTTGTTTTAATTTTCTCCAAATGTGGAAGGCTGAGTCCAAACACCAGCACACTCACAATGCCCTGAGGTGTGATGTGCGTCAAACAAGACGCTTTTTGGAGTTTTTCTCTGCTCTGGAAAATGTGTTTAAAAATTCAATGAACCTCAACAGACTGACACAAAGATGAAGTGTGACCTTTGAATTTTTAGAGAAATGTTTGTGGTCGGTGGACAGCTGTGTGTTGCTTTTTAAAATCTTGTCACTAGTAGTTAAAATTTGCTGTTAATGTCTGCTCATAATAGCAGATATTATTTAGGTTACCTTTTTGACCATTTAACAACTCAGTTCAGTTGTCACCATCAGGTATTTCTCAGAGAGAGAGACATCACAGGTGAACTTGATATTTTACAGATCAGAGTTTGTCATGTCTGTGACGATAACCCCGGTAATGTCATCAGGGCTTGGGCTTGGACCCTGCCAAACTGTCACAGAAATCATGTATTAAAAACTGATATGGATTTTGAAATACAGTTTTTAAAAATGTTAACCAGGCGGGGAAGCTGTAATAACGGACACTGTTGACTTCCATTATGGGAAATATAGCATCCATGATGTTGTCTGCCATGAGTTCCCAGCTTTATGGAAGTGCAGAACTAAATTGTCGGGTTACTCCTTTAAGTTTAGGAAGTGCAAAAAAGAATACCCATCGCAAGCTACGTGAACCAACCTGCAGCTAAAAAAAACATAACATATTCATTTAGGCTACATGTTTTTCTGTAAAATGAACCACAATGGGAACTTATAGTAGTCCTGTATATGTACACATCTGTTCCTCTAAAATAGCAAGAGTAGATGTATTTGTAATTTTGTTTCTCTTCTGACATTTATTCTTTAATTAAATTGACATACAGTGGTTTCAAAAAGTCAAACAAGCAATTGTTTTGTATCTTGTATCAAATATTTCATTTATTTATTTATAACTTAAAAACTTACCTGAGTAGTAAATGTATACATTCGAGCCATTGGGGAGGTGTAAATCATTAGTCGGGGACACCCCTAGAGAGTATCCAAGTTGT